TGTATAGTGTATAGTGTATAGTGTATAGTGTATAGTGTATAGTGTATAGTGTATAGTGTATAGTGTATAGTGTATAGTGTATAGTGTATAGTGTATAGTGTAACGTGTATAGTGTATAGTGTATAGTGTATAGTGTACAAATTGACCTATTTCACTTAAAACATTGATGTTCAAGCTAATGGTAAAAACTTCTTGCTCCTAATGCAACACCAAATAAACATAAAATCACACATGTCGTCTTCATCTGAATTGCCTTGAGCTAAAATTAAAATTAACAATTTCATCTTAAATTACAAACCTGCGTGTTTCCTCAATCTTTTGTTAAGCTCCAAAAAGTCTGCGGCCTAAAAAGACAACATTTAGTCTAATCTAATTATTTCGTTAATTCTTCATTGTTACCATATTGAAGACGACTTTCTCGTTTATTCTTTATTGTTACCATATTGAAGACGACTTTCTTGTTTATACTTTATTGTTACCATATTGAAGACGACTTTCTCGTTTATACTTTTACCATATTGATGACTACTTTCTCGTTTATACTTTATTGTTACCATATTGAAGACGACTTTCTCGTTTATACTTCATTGTTACCATATTGAAGACGACTTTCTCGTTTATTCTTTATTGTTAAAACATTGAAGACGACTTTCTCGTTTTCAGATATTTCTTTAACTAAAACAGCTTTATATTTATCAAAAAATAATTTCGAAAAAAGATGTAAAATTTAAAAAATATGAACTTGCAACACAATGCAATGCAGCAAGTATACAAATATTTTTTGTGGAAGATTTGCTTTTAAGGGAATATGATAATATATGTAGAAAATTTTTGTTTTCAACAAATGGTACATAGCCGAGAATTGCTCAGTGAGGAAAAAAATTGTTTTATTTTAAACACAATTTCTTACATTGATAATTCCATCCTGGTTTACATCATAGAAAGCTCTGAAGAAGAAAGTAAGCTTCTCTATCTGGAAGGAAGAGAGAGACTTCTGTAGACTTTCATAATCTACACTGGAATCTGAAATTTTAGGTTAATTTAAACTCTCATTAATATATTAAAAAAAGAAAGACGACTTTATGTCTCGAGTTCTGATTAAATACAGTCCAATAAATATGTTTCATGTACTCTGTCCATAAACATATTTCACTTTAAATATCGATTTATGACAGAAATTAAATTGATATAAATGTCGTCTTCATATCCCGCAGTTTATGATTATAACTGTAGATAATAGATATACACATCCTAACTAACATGAACATTGAACAATGAACATTGAACAATGATCATTGAAAGAAGAACACTCAAAACAAATTTAAGAATGAGACTTTAGAAACATGTGAATGGAATTTGTTGAGTTCTTTTTCTTGAAAATAAGCTTTTTCATTACAAACCCATTTAAACAAGGCAGACGATCAAACCTAATATTAAGATAGTATGCATATTTACAGAATTTTGGTCGTCTTTGTAATCTCATCCTTAGTGGATAACCCTGTATATAAAATTAGGGGGAACCAGAACATTTTTCGAAATTCACAAATAAGACCATTTTACCTAATCCCTTAAACCTATTCACAGAAAAGGAAATCTTAGGTCCTAACGTTGCGCTCATCCTGAAAAAAAATTCATCATCATAAAATCTAAACTGTAGATGGGCATCTTTTTTTCAAAGAACGAAATTTTGGAATACGAACTAATTTTTTTGTGTTAAGGAAAAAAGGAACAAAATGTATCGTTCAGAGAAATGAAATTGATGGTTTTTTTAAACGAACTAGAAAAAATTTTGGGTTGTTTACTGAACGAACGATAGTATTTTTTACTGAATGAATGATATTTTGAACAAACCTTTGAAAAATGACAGTTTTTACTGAACGAACGATTTAATTGAACAAACAATTATACTGAAGGAACGATTTTACTGAACGATCGTTCTGTGAGAAAACGACCGAAGAAAAATTAACGATAATTTTGAGAACGAATGAAAATAATATGGTTCTGAACGATTGAAAAATACTAACGAAATGGGTCGTTCACGAACGATGAACGAAACAAATCAAAAAACTCAAAGGTGCCGATATCTTGAATAATAAAGACTGCACAACAATTTATAATCATTCTTGAATTCTGCAGATTTTAATTTTATAAATTATTTAGACAACAAACTATAATTAAAGTTTATTAGAAAATTTTAATGAAATTTAAAGTAGAAATCACAATCAAACTGATCCAATTTTAACAACGAATTGCAATGAACCTTATGCAAAAAAAAGTTATATTGCAAATCCTAATAAATTAAGACAACAAATAGCAGACTGATTAACTGAGTTTTTACCACAAACTAAAATTTTCTAATTCCATATATATCATGTATCAATTTAAGATTAAGGAAATAAACAGTATAAATATCGTAGAATCGTCTCATCCTATGTGGGCAACCCTGTATCAAAACTTGATGAAACAAAAGCAATAAAAAAAATTTTGTTTGATTTTATTCCATGGCTTACCTATGTGATTGTACACTTTCAACTGTAGTTGAGTTTCTTCAGGCAATTGAAGATTACTTGCAGATAGATAGATAGTCAGGCCTACACAATGAGGCAGACATATAAGCTAAATAGATAACAAGATAGATAGATAGGTTGTATAACCTGTTTGTCTAGATTTCTCGTCTCTACAATCTACATATTGAAACTGATAAATATTTGAAGGGAGAAGGGGTAAAACTTTCCATTGTAGAGGGGGGGGGAGGGGGGAGTGCTCATAGGGTTAAACTTGGGAAGAGTCAGGGGTGGTATACCTTCTTTTATAGCAGGGGATACTTTCCCTAATATCAGGGAGATACACGTTTCCTAATATCAGGGAGATATACTTTTCCTAATAGCAAGGGATTTTAATTATCCCTCATAGCAGGGATGGATACTTTTTCTTATAGAATTGGGAAAAAATACTTTCCTTAATAACAGGGATGTATATTTTCCCTTTTAGCAGGAGATGTATACTCTTCCTTATAGCATGAGATGTGTACTCTTCCTTATAGCATGAGATGTGTACTCTCCCTTACAGCAGGAGATGTATACTCTCCCTTACAGCAGGAGATGTATACGTTCCCTTACAACAGGAGATGTATACTCTCCCTTATAGCAGGAGATGTATACTCTCCCTTATAGCAGGAGATGTATACTCTCCCTTACAGCAGGAGATGTATACGTTCCCTTACAAGCAGGAGATGTATACTCTCCCTTATAGCAGGAGATGTATACTCTCCCTTATAGCAGGAGATGTATACTCTCCCTTATAGCAAGAGATGCATACTCTCCCTTATAGCAGGAGATGTATACTCTCCCTTATAGCAGGAAATGTATACTCTCCCTTATAGCAGGAGATGTATACTCTCCCATACAGCTGGAGATGTATACTCTCCCTTATAGCAGGAGATGTATACTCTCCCTTACAGCAGGAGATGTATACTCTCCCTTATAGCAGAGATAAAATATACTAATTGTCCATCTCTTTCCTTACCTTTGCTATCCTGAATTAATTTAAAGAGCTGCAGAAACTGGAGAAATAATGTTTTTGTCAATATAGATATTAAAAAAACTTTTTCTTGAATGAAAATTGCACACTTATAAATCAGTGGACATTTTTTAACAAAAAACATACAAAAAAGTTTGTTATTAGCAAGGAACAAAAATAACTGGTAATGAAAAAAATAATGAATAGTAATCAAAATATCAGTGACTTTCATTATTTTTTCTTCTTAAAATTGATTGAATTTAACTGAAACTAAAGAATTTTAAGAAAATTAATGTCAAATGGGTATCTGAAAGGTTGATTATTTGAACAATTATAGCATAACATTAATAAACAGTTCAAAAAATCAGAATCTGACCAGTCCTCCTATTCTCTTATGTATAAAATAACACTTGCATAATCTGTTTTTACATCAGATTTTGCTAGATAATTTGATGTAATGTATAAAAATATTAAGAATTTTAAATATATGTTTTGTAAAGGAATTGAATCTTTCTTCACAAAGTCTGATTTTCAAATCC